TTTTTCTTGGATTGAAAATGCTATCACTGAATTCTCGCGAGAATGCTGTTTCCTAATAGAACGTTCTATATTTCGTCGTTTTGTATTCCTTACTATTATTGTAGAAAATCTTAACCATCTAATTTCTGGCATACACTATACTACGCTAATCATACTTCATGAGCCGAGAAAGAACGACGCGCTGTAATTATCTATCCAAAAGAAAAATTGATAATATTAATCATATGTGTTAATTATTTAACCGAAAAATTTTTCTCATGAGAAAGAAGTTAATCATCTGATACTTAATATAGTGTTTTTTCTCAAAGTAAAGACAATCGAGTTATTGATCACTTTTATTCTTTTTATTTGTAAGCTAATATACAGAAAAAACAGAAGAATACGTAAAATAATTAAACGATTAATCGAAACCACTATTATATGGATACAAGAGTGACTTATAGATATATGTCAAATTTCCCAAGAGGTTTTTAGCTGATAATTTTTATAAAAATTAGCCTTTTAGAATATTAAAATTTATTTTGAGAGGAAACTCTCTTACCTGCAACCTAATCACATATTTCACAAAGTAGTTATGAAGACTATATAGTTCATTTTATTGCATCTCATTGCTACTTGAGGATATTGTCGGGTTTTTTTTTCCATTTAAACATTTTTAGATTATTTTCCAAATTTGTTTTTTTCTCTTTTTTTTTCGTCTCTCACTTAATAAATTTTAAAATTATCTTATGTGTTTATAGATACTATAAAGTACACTCAAATTGTTTATGAGCGTATAGAGTGAAAAATAAATAGACTACTCTCTTTTTTTACTCATGAACAAAAACAATGAAAAAAGCCTTTTTTACACTTCGTTCCTTCACATTGATAGATAACAAAAAAGAAGTTTCCATCATACGATCAATGTTACAAATTATTTACTTTTTCTTCTTGTTCTTCGAAACTGCCTTTTGAGTGCTACCGTTTCTTAGAGAGAGAGAGAAGACAGAAAAAAAAAGAAGAAAAAAATTCTAACAGTAAAAGTAAAAATAAAAGATTACAATAAGGATAGATAGATACAAAAATAATGCTTTAGGCACAAGCATCAGACTTTCATTGACATGCAATAGAATTTAGAGTGAAAGATGTGAATATTATTTAAAAATATGATGTAGGGGTCAATCAATTTTGATTACGCTTTTTTTTCTCTCCTATTAAAAATAATTGAGCATTCCTCTATTTTCTTTCCATCTTATGGCAGCATTTTTATTAATATTTTTCTAGACAGCTATAGCTCATACACTTCTAAATTTTTGAATGTGAACTCAAGCAATAGTTTCTACGGCTCTTTCACTATACCAATTTAGTTTGAAGAGGAAGTGACAAAAAAATCGTCTACGCTGATCTTCTATTGTGGATGGAATTTATTTTGATTAATTGTACCAAAGATATAAGAATTTATAAATTTTACTTTACGAAAAATGCTAAGGAAAAAATTGGTGACATCAGTGACTAGTCGATGCTGTTGACCGACGAATTCACGTTTTATCAATCTATTTTCACCGAATGATCGCTCTGTGATTTTCTGTGTTGTCCGGTTCCAAGAGTTTGCTAACATGCTTTACGATCGATTTTCTCAGAGTGATGGTATATAATTTTGAATATTAGCTACGAGATCACATCTAGTGATACCGTCAATCACATTTACATACCGATCCGTTGTATTGTTAATGCTAAGAGAGATTTTCTCTTATTTACCTTTTATTCTTGTTCACTATAAGAGACTTATGCATATCTTGAAATTCACTAATTTTTCGTGTAACAACAACCGGAATATCTTTCCTCTGAGTATTTTCAATGAAGACCAAAAAAGTCAATCGAAATTAATTCAAGAGTGAAAATAGGAAATAGCGAATAATAGACTTACATGCTTCCTATTATTCAATCAAAAGAATTTTGACATCATTTCTTTTGACTACTTACTACTTAGAATATAATTTTCGTATAAAGAAAAGAGAAAAATAATGCGTTTCAATGTTAATTACTTCCTTTATACAACAGACACTATATTCTCAATTTCTTCTATTGTTTTATCTTTTTTTTGATAAAATTAAAAAAAATGAAAGGAGGAAATAGACTTTATGATTTGTATCACCTATTTTGTTCTATCTAGCGTACTGTCACATTTAAGAAAAAATTTGATTACTTTAATAAAATATGTAACATATATAAATGTTTCTTTTCCTTTCTTTTTTATGTTTATTATTCTAAACTACATAGATAATATTTCAGTTTTTACTATAGAGATAATATTTCAGTTTTTAAATAATAAGTCTTGTTGTTGAACAAAAAATTAATCAAGTCTTTCAACAGATCATAATACTTGACCATATTGAGATAAAATATTTAGGAATACTATCATTTTTCATGGTGTCAAGAGTGACCGCTTCCTTTTATTGTTTGGTATCTTGTGTCTACGATCGGGCATCAGTCAAGATTCTTCTTATTCTATTATAGTATCTTGATGTCAAAACAAATGGGCATAGTTTGCAAGACTACATCTAGAAAATAAAACATGTAATCAAGCATGAAATCGAAAGTCCTAGCATAAAAACCGTTCAAAAAAATTATGAGGAAAAAAACATGAATTTCAAGCCGTGAAGAAAAATCTCAAGATAAAATACGGAAATGTCAAAATCATGGAGCATATCCACAGAAGTGGAAATAAAGCTCGCAGTAGAAAAACCGTGAACAAAATAATCGTAAGGAAAAACGTAGAAATTGATATGTATAGAAGAGGATACGAGAGAAAAATCCGTGAACGTAGATGTCATTCATCTCTTTTTTATGTCCCTATGATTTATATATAAACAGCATCAATTTTAACACAAAAATTCCGAAGTTTTTCGCTGTCTTCGGTACAAGTCGTTAAAACTCGACATGGAAGTAGCCGTCCTAAGAACTGCTATTGAGGGCCAGTATTGTGATTCAGGACATGTTCGTGGTGCCCGTATCGGTCACCTAGTAAAATAGAGAAAATTTTGCGAGCTAATTAGTCTAATTAGATAAATTATCGTGTGTAGACGTGTGTACATTTTTCCGTCACAACTTCCATGTGCAAAAAAGCATCTACTAAAAAACCCGTTTCATAAAAAGTACGAACGAAAGATATGAAAATAGCGTGGAAGAAAACCGTGAACTGATAAGAGCATGAAGAATATCGGTAGGAAAAATAGTACGGGAAGTGGCAATCAAAATCTGTGAACAAAAAATGGTAAAATTTCTACGTTTTTATTTTTGCTGTATAGTAATTTATATTCGTGTCCGAATTTGTACAAAAGTCATTTTGAGTTTTTTCATAGTTTTATATTTTAGAATATAATAATGGGTATATTTCCACTCAGCAAGAATAAAGCTTAAATAAAGTCCAAAACTAGTTTATGACGTTTTTCAAGAAAACTGAGCTGGTACCTAGGATTAAGGATGTATCATGTCCAAACTTTAGCTTAGGCATAAAATATTATGCGCAAATCATAAGTCAAAATGGTATCAGAAAAACGGTATATATTATTAATAGAACAAAAATAATCTTCCGAAATCGAGCGAACGGAACCCAAAAGTTTGAAGTTGGTATACATACGATGATATGAAGTCGATAGTTTTACTTCGACACGTTATCTGTACGTAGATAGCACACACGTACCATAATGAGAGAACATCAATTATAAATTTGAAATGTTGTAAGAATTTTTGCACATACAAAAAGAATTTTCGGAAACAAAAAACAAGGTCAAACAAAAATTCTTATAGGCAAGGTATAACAAAATCAAAAAATTACAAGAAACATGAAAAACAAACAAAATTTTCAAGAAAGCACATAACAAAATATAACAAATAAACAAAAACAGGTAGCGAAAATAAACCACTATAACAACTGCAGTAAGTTGTTCACATTTGATCAGTTAATAATAGCACTGGTTTTTCTTTATCGAAGTAATAAACCAACATGCAAATGAGATAGCTGAAAATGCATTAGGCCTTTTTGATCCAACTAAGTTTGTTAGTGAAAGTAAAGTAAAGTAAAAAAGAAACAACAAACAGATATATTATACAAATCCGGCTACAGGATTCTATCACAAATGAGTTGAGAAGAAAGAATGAGTTCTTGTTGAATAATCACGGTTAATGTTTAATAACTACTAGATATAGTATGTGTGTGCAGAGTAAGTTCAGGCATAATAAATTGTAAATCATGTTTGTCGATGTGTCAATTGGGTTGCATATTTGTTAGTGATATTCTAATACAGGCAATACACTCAATCAGCTGTTGGTAGTTAATAAAAAAAGAAGAACATAAATGAATTAATGGTTATCAATTGTAATAATAGTTTAACGAAGTATATAAATCAAAAATGGAGCTAAGAGAATTTAAAAATTAGTAGTAAAATCTAGCTTCTATTTATTTTCTGATGTGATTTTCCCTCGCTGAATTTCTTGAAATACATTACTGGTTTACAATCACAAGATCTTGTTTGAACATCAGTATCAATTCAGATGATAAAGTCATTTTTCTCTTTCTGTCTGAGTACATTATAAGCAAAAGAATAGAAGCTAAAGTAATATCAGCTTCAAGTAAAGACTATAGATTAATTAAATTTAACATGCATACAGACATGCACTGTTATCACAACATCAAACAAGTTAAACAACTAAAAGTACTAGTATTTTTACATTAACTATTATTAACTTCTTAATTTTTGTCCATTTAAGAATAGGCAACAGATAAAAAGTCTGATCTTATTTTCTTCTCAATAAAAGACTATAGTTAGTTATAGGCTATGCTGAAAATGACTGTTCGTACGATTGTTTGAGTGAGCATCGCACGTACGAACAACGAAAGAAGAGAAAACAAGATTCGCGTCTAAAATGTAATATAAAAAAAGTTCATGCAAACTAACCTTTTAAATTTTAAAATAATAAAAATTTCACACATACAAATAAACTGATGATAGATTCTGTATTCATGTCCGATTTGTTCGTTGAGCAACCGTCGAATACGGTTGATATCGAGCTGAAGTGGCTGTTGGAGCCCTGCTAATACTGGCACCTGAGAGACAATAATAATAATAATAATAATACATAACAAAAATTTACGAAACGATTTGAGAAGAGAAAAACAATGGTGAGAGGGCGTCTGTTCGTCAATAAAGCAGCATGCAAGTTCAATTTTTTGCTCAATCAGAAAAATGCGACACCAATCACTGAACCAGAGATAACGTACCTAAAAAGTATAAAAATCTACGAAATATAATTTTTGTGGTGGAAAAAATTTAAAAGATACATGCTTCAAGCATCCTCCTTATCCTCTATCGAAGGACAATTTCACATCTCTAAGAATCATTGCTAACTTAAGTTGTATAAATAGTATTAATTCTTTCTCGTCAGTTCATGCAATGTACAAGAAGAAAAAAACGATAAATAAAGCTAGAAATAACCGGAAAAAAAGAAAGCACAAAGCACGACACCTGCTGTTGTTATTGTCACTATGTGTTATGTGAAGCAGAAAAGAGTCTAAAAATATACATTTATTAGTATTGTTCATGCTATATTAAGTATCTTAGAGGGCAATCTTTTTCAATTACTCACGTACATACAACATATAGACAAGAAGAACAATAAAGAGTAGGAAAAATATTTTGAACAAGGAATATCAAGTTTTTAAGTGAGGCGTTCGATAAATTTTATCAAAAACATAATGACAATAACAACGGTATCGTGACGGAGAATAATAACGATTAAATTTAATACCTGCTGGTGTTGTTAGAAATGGAAATGCTAGAAAAATGAAAAATAATTTTTAAAACTGTCAGATATTCTCCTCCATTCACACGTACACTAAAAAACAAACCTGTCTGACTTGGATCAATATGTGTCGGTTGATATTCGAATAACTGTGCACCGGATAGAGCTACTTGATCTAATGATTGAAGCGGCGTAAATAAATGGACAAAATTTTGTTCACCATTTGCTGTTTGAATAAGTGAACCTTGTGGCATAGCTTGTGTGGCTGTTAGGGTTTGTTGTTGTTGATGGGCAGGTGACGTTGTAAACATAGCGTGACCACCCTGTGAGACATTAGCTGCTGCTGATAATTGAGCAGCCAATATATTTTGTTGAATACGCTGAGTCAATATTAGTGGTGCGCCTATCTGCATACGATTATTTGGAAATTGTATTTGAAGTTTTTTTTGAAATAAACTTGGTTCACGATATGTACCATTAATAATGGCCAATTCCATTAGTTGTTTCTTTTTCAAATCATCTTCACCTTCTGCCTGAAAAGAGTATGTAAAGAAATTTGAGAAGATTATACGAAATTTTTATTCCCAGAGAAATTTTTTCTATATTTTTATTTCGTGTAAGACAGCTATAGCCATCAAATATGCACACGAACAAGTATATCTACGAAAGAAAGAAATTCGATGTTATCTTAAGTATAAATATTTTTACACTTCCATTTAATAAGGGTGTAAATAAATCGATGATTGAAGAATTATTAAAATCTTGGTAAAAGAAGCCAATAAGTTTCAAAATTCCAAGATTTTAAACTCTTTAAATTTCTCCACTTTCTGCATTTTTACAAAAGTTTGCATAATTTTAGCAGCTTATCTCGCTTTATTCATTAATTAAACGTTTTTTTTATCAAACTCTTACTTACGGCTGGTTTCAAAAGTTTAATAATCTCTTCTTTCGCTCGTTCCAACTTGACAAGTGCACGATTTTCATGATCTTCACATTGTATTAAAACGTGAAGTTCTTCATCTAAATGTTCCCAATTTGGTTTACCGCGATTTTGTTCTTCCTGAATAATATGCAAATGAAACTTTTTATCTAATGAATATGCCTACGTCAAACATACCTTATGCTTATCTCTCATTGAACCTCGCCCTCGTACCATTATTTTACATCCTGTATCTGTTTCTAATTGTTTTGCAGTCATGCCACGTGGACCTAATATTCTGCCCACGAAATTGAACTAGATATACGAACAGATAGAAAAGAAAGATATGATTATTTTTCGGTAAAGAAACGCAATTAGCTTTTTTATTTGACATGCGAAGAGATCTGCTAGGTTAGGACAATGAACTAAACAGAAATGATTTTAGCAACAATCTGAGAGAGAGAAGATGTCCTCTCGGTTCGTCCCAAATTGACTTCTCACTTCGTCCCATGAAGCTTTTTTTCTCAATTCGTCCCAGATATCTATGGTCGCGCCTCAAAATAAATAAAGTGTTTTACTATCTAACAGTTTAGACGGCGACGGTGGATATTGTAGGCAATACTAGATGCGCGTACGTGGCAAAATGTGCCGTGTTAGGTTAGTCACTGCTATCACAAATTTAAATCTAAATAAATTAAACTGTCTTGTTCATCAAAATGTCAATTTTCACGTCTACTGAATAAGACAAACGAGTTTTGAATCATAATGGGTATCAATACACTAAAAAACGAGCGAACAAAACAATAATCAATGGAGGTGCCGGGATCGAACATGTTCAAACATAATATCATTATGTACAGACGATGTGAGAATTTTACGGAATGAATCAGTACACACATGCAAACCAGATACCGCCAAAGTCCTCGTTGATATTGCTGTTATATATACATATTTATCATCGTACGCAAGAGGTACGGACAGTTATATTAAAGCTAATTAAGTGTAAACTAAAATGAGACGGATTGAGAGAGAAGTGTTGATGGGACGAACTGAGAAAAAAAATTCTAGGACGAATTAGTTGGGACGGACGAACTGACAGTAAACCAGAGAGAGATCCAAGTATATAAAAAATTTCGGTCGGCGGATATTTCAACTAGACAGATTTTTTTCCGACTACTATTCGACTAATCAAAGTTCTTTGTCGACTGGTTGAAAATACTCGGATCGGACCAGTTTCGACGGATTACTGACTATTCTACCCATTGGAAAATGGAACGCCTACTAGTCGATTTACCGTCGAACACTTGCATGAGGAGAGAAAGAAACAAATTTGGTAATATTTACTCGATCAAGTAGCATGCAATAAAAGAGACTATAGAGATCAGGTTCTCTTAGAGCTTGCAGAATAGGTCTAGCAATCTGTCAAAGTTAGAAACGTTTTTAGAGACACTATGCTACAGATAAACTTTATTCTTTTACACGGGTGCTTGACGAGAAAATGGGCACCTTAATAAAATTAAAGACACTTGTCAGACCAAGACAATATTGTTTTCTATTATGTTACACCGTACTGTAAAAAATGTGTCATCAACTGTGTCTTATTAATAAAATACCTTGGAGAGCGACATATCTGATAGATTTTACAAGGAAATTCCGAGCAACTTGATGCTAGGAACTCTTACAAACCGCACGGTAAAAAAAAGCGTCGAAAAAAGCGCCCACTAGAAAACGTCCACGAAAAGTATACTAAAAAAAGCATCGACAAAAATGAGTCCACAAAAATTCGTCCAAGTATAGTATTTAAGTGCATACTGCATAGATGACTCGTTTCACTGCACTAGCTTATCTCAGAAACGGCTGATTTCCTGCGATAGTGGATCGATCCAGCAGATCAGGCGTGCTTCCAAAGTGCAATATTATTTGGAAATCTTTTCAAATTTTGTTTTTCCATCTAACAAAAAAAACATACTAAAAAATTCGTCCAAAAAAAAACCGTCTAGCAAAAAAGCATCCCAAGATGTGACGAAAAAACCGCCCACTAAAAAGCGTTAACTTTTGGACGCTTTTTTTTTACTGTGCGTTGATGAGGGGACTGTATATGACTTACAGCATTAGGTTATTAAAAATGTTTTTGTGTGGATTAATTCCACTAAAACAATGTAATAAATACTAATGTTATGCTTCGTCCGGAGTCAGCTCTTTCCTGCAACGAGGGAACTTCTTGAGGTTGTAAATCGCTTTTGAACTCAGACTACTTTTATCTTGTAGATCTCAGTAAGTAGTGAAATACCCTAAGTTGATTTGTGCCCATGGTACTTTGTTGCTGAGATACTGAATTTTTAGTCAGTTTTTGCCTATAGAGCTTGAATTTCGAGCAAAATCCGACTTTCGAATTTTGATTTCAAACTTGACACACTTGTAGCCCATGGTCATAGTAGTATGACGGAAAAATATTCGATGCTAATGAATTTTCCTGC